AGAATATCGTGTTGCTTGAGTTCGGATTTTCTTGAGTTGGATCGGATCGACGGGTTCCGTGCCGTTAACGATGAAGTTTATGATGTTGGTCATCCACGAACTTGAGAGTTCTTCGATCGGCATACATTCTTGTGGAATGCTTGACGTGGGTAATTCTAAGTGGATGGTCGTTCGGAGCTGTCCTGGTTTTCGACTACTAGCCAATCAAGCTAGCTGGTTGGCTCTTTCGTTATTGCAGCGCGGTGTGTGTCGGACTTGTACGTCACGAAACTGATTGCTCATCCCTCTGAATAGATGGTAGTACTTCAATAGGTTTACGTCCTTGACTTGAAAGTTATCGTTGACCTGTTCGGCCACTACTTTCGAGTCGGTCCAACACACAATTTTCGTGGCTCCCATTTCGGCGACTAACCTCATGCCCGCAAGCAAAGCTTCATACTCTGCTTGATTATTTGATGTTTTGCAGCCAAAGCGTAGTGATTGTTCGAGGGTGATACCGGATGGGCTTTCCAAGATTATGTCGACACCACTTCCCTGCTGATTGGAAGATCCATCGACATGCATGGTCCAAGCGTCGTCCTCAAAGTTTCCGGGTGGAGATAGCTCATTAACGAAATTGATCAAGTGTTGCGATTTGATAGGACCTCGCGGTTGAAACCGAACGTCGAACTCGGACAACTCTATTGACCAAGCCATTATTCGGCCCGCGATCTCAAGTTTTCTGAACACCATGGCTATCGGGCAATCGGTTCGGACCACCACCCTGTGGCTCTGAAAGTATTGGCGAAGCCGTCGCGCTGTGTAAATCAATGCTAGGGCTACTTTTTCTAGGAGCTGGTATCGGCGCTCCGCGTCTTGCAAGACTCGGCTGACAAAATATATAGGTTGCTGGTGGCGTTTGTTTCTTGGATCATAACGGCACTTACAGCGTCGTTGGATACTGCCAAGTATATGATCAGGTTTGACCCGAGTATCGGCTTAGATAGAACTGGGGGTGTTCCCAGTTGTCCTTTGAAGTGCTGGAACGCGGCTTCACACTCATCCGTCCACTTGAATCGATCGGCCTTTTTTAACAGGTTGAGGATCGGTTTAGCTATTTCGGCCATGCACGGGAGGAAGCGAGACAAGGAGGTTAGTTGGCCGGATAACCTTTGGACTTCTTTGATATTTGTTGGACTTCTCATGTCTAGGATGGTGTGGCATTTATCAGGGTTTACCTCAATTCCTCGGTTGGAGAGCATGAAGCCTAGGAACTTGCCTCCGGATACACCAAACACACACTTGTCGGGATTGAGACGCATTCGGTGTTTTCGTAGTGCTTGGAATACCTCGGCCAGGTCGGCTGTGTGATTGACAAGGTTAGGTGATTTGACTACCATGTCGTCGACGTACACTTCCAAATTCTTCCCGATTTGCTTGTGGAAGATCCTGTCCATGAGTCTCTGATAGGTAGCCCCAACATTCTTCAATCCGAACGGCATAACCTGATAACAGTAGTTGGCCGACTCGGTGACAAATGTTGTCTTCTCTTCGTCCCGGGGATGCATTCGGATCTGATTATATCCAGAATAAGCGTCAAGAAAAGTTAGGAACTGATGGCAGGCCGCTCCGTTGACCAGTCGGTCGATGTTCAGCAGTGGGTAGGCGTCCTTAGGACACGCCTTGTTCAAATCAGTATAGTCAGTGCATATTCGCCACTTGTCATTCGGTTTCCTAACCATGACGACATTGGCTAGCCACGTTGTGTATTGAACCTCTCGGATGAAGCCTGCGTCTATTAGCTTGGAAACCTCTTCTTCGATTGCCTTCTTCCTTTCTTCCCCTGCTTTCCTTTTCCGTTGGGCGATCGGCTTCGCCTCTCGGCAGACTGAGAGTTTGTGGCATAAGAAATTGGGGTCGATCCCTGGCATATCGGTTGGCCGCCACGCGAAGAGGTCTTTGTTTTTCCTAATAACTTGTCCGATTTCTTGTTTTTCGGTCTCGGACAAGTTGGAGCCCAGGTAGGTCATATGTAGGTCGGTCGGCCCGATTACAATTGGGTGTCGGTCTTCAATCGGCTCGACCCTTTCGTCTTGTTTCATTCGAGAGTCGAAGTCCACAATTGCTGGGTCGAGTTCTTGGGCTATTATGTGTATAGGCTTTTCTCCGCGCGGCTCGGCCGTTTCGAGACGAGGTAGCCGAAGACTAGCGAAATAACACTCCCTAGCCGCTTTCTGATCGACGTGTACTGTGATGATCCAGCCTGATTCGGAAGGGAATTTCATGGCTAAGTATGGAGTTGACACGATCGCACCTAGCTTGTTGAGGGAAGGCCTTCCGAGAAGAATTTTGTATGACGTGTTGGCGTGCACAACCACGTATTTGACCGGTATGTCTCGGGCTTCGGCTCCATCGAAGCAGAAGCGGGTGGATAACTTGATGTACCCTTTGGTTTGGACACGTTCACCAGAGAATCCAACCAAGGGCTCGTTGTAGGGGATCAACTCGACCTCCGGGATGCCGAGTTGTTTAAAGGTATTCCAGTAGAGGATATCGGCCGAGCTTCCTTGATCGACCAACGTCTTCCGAACAATGCAGTTGTGGATCTCGACGCTGATGACCATGGGGTCGTCTTGATCAGGATCGATACCTTTAAAATCGACTTCGGTGAATGTGATGGCCGGCAACCTTTGCTGAGTGCGTTCAACCGAGTGCACAGCTTGGACGGCTCGCAGGTGTCTTTTTTGAGCTGAAGAGGTGGAGCCGCCGCCTGCGAATCCATCGACAATGGTGTTGATGATTCTTTGGGGTTGGGTTGCCGGCTCGCCTCCTTTCGGCCCCTCGACCGGCTTCGTTCCCTGTAAGGACGCCTGTCGGATCTGTATTGGTCAGGTTGTTCCCCACGATGCCGACGATCCTCGTGTCGGGGAGAGCGAGGTCGGTCGACAAAACGTTGAAGCTGCCCTTGTTTGATCAAGTCCTCGATTTTATCTTTCAAGGCCGCACACTCCTCGGTCGAGTGGCCCCGATTTTGGATGATACTTACAGGACTTGGTTGTGTCGGCGCGCGAAGGGGTTGAGGCTCGCTTCGGCACTGCCAGGACCTCCGACGCGAGTGCCTGATCTAAGACAGCCGATCGGCTAGTGTTCAGCGGGGTGTAATGAGAGTACCTCGGTCCGTGAATAGGTTTGTCTCTTGGGACGAGGTCCTTGGGGCGGCTTTAGTAAGAGCTTTCGGCCGGCTTCTCAACTTTGGTTGTTACCTCTGCCCTGGCCTGATTGCGAAATTCCGCAAGTTCCTCCATCTGCATATATTTGTCAGCGCGGCGTCTCAAATCGTCCATGTCAGAAAGGGGCTTCTTGCAGATGCTGTTAGCAAACGGTCCCGGCTTCAGAGCTGTAGTCAGATGGTGAAGGGCGACGGCCGGATTCAAGTCTCGTATTTCAAGGGCCGCTTTGTTGAATCAGCTCATGAAGGTCCGAAGAGATTCCTTCTTCTCTTGTCTTATGCTCACCAACGCGAGGGAGGTTAGTTGGTGAGGCCGGCTGGTGGCGAACTGGATGGTGAACTGGGATGCTAAGGTGTTAAAAGAGTCTATCGAGTTGGTCGGGATACGAGTGAACCAGCTCAATGCTCGACCCTTTAACGATGTTGGAAAAATTCGGCAGAGGGCGGCGTCATCAGTAGTGATGAGGGTGACTTGGGTCAAAAAGATATCGATATGTTCGTCGGGGTCGGTGGTTCCGTCATACTTGTCTAACGGGAGGGACTTCCAGTGGTCGAGGAGGGAGGATTGCATGATGTTTGGGGTGAAAGGGTGTCGGTGTGCTCCAATTGGCGGAGCTTACGCGGGTCGGCCGGTTACTTGGGCAACTAACACGTGGTTTCCCGGGGCGACGACAGAAGTGTGAGGGAGAGAAGTATGATGTCCGAGCGAGTGGAACGACCCCTGGGTGTGAGTCGGCTCGGAGGGTTTCCACGTGGGATCCTGGTTTTGGTTTTTCAAGGTAGCGTTCTCTTCCCTCAAGGCGGCCATTTCACGAGCATCTTTTTCTCGTTGTTGCTTCATGGCGGCCATTTCCTCCTTCATCTGCCTTACCACTTCGGCCATGTTCGTCTCTTCAACGGTCTCGGCATTGTCTGCCTCAGATCGGTGGTCTTCGGTGTTGGTCTTCCTTGTCCTTGCCATAATGCTATCACTCAATTGGTCTTCTTAAGTCATCTCGGTTTGGCCACACGGTGGGCGCCAAAATGTACCTGTCTGAGGGCACACTCGTAATCTTCTGGTAGGTGGAGGGCCGAACGAGAGCTTCAAGTGGATACTTCAGAGGGGGGAGGTACCTGCAAAAGGCACTCCGACGCTCAAGTCAGGACAAGCACGATTCTCTAGGGTAATAAATGAACAGTGACATATCTCGTTTCGTGTGACTTATTTATACTACCTGTCATGGGCCTGAGCATGGTGGGCCTTCTCTGACACTTACCAAATTAGGTAATACGATGTTAATCGGCTGGTTATGCCTTAATTGCGTGTTGTCCTTTGTTAACCGTGATTATTGTCCTAACTATTCTCTGTTGATCTTAGGCCGAGCCGATAGGGAACGACCGAGAGGACTTCTCCATCTTCGGCCTTTGGCCGAGCCGATAGGAGAAAGGGTTGGGTTCTCCATGGTTCTCGACCTTTTACCGAGCCGAGATGTGTCAGAACTGCGTCAATATCTGATAGGACATGACGTGTCGGTCCACGTGGCCAACCCACGTGGCCGATAGGACCCTTCTGGTACAGGTGTAATATATTATTTTTAAAATATATTAAAATATAAAATAATTTGATTTTTTTTATTATAATTCAATTTTAATAAATATGTCATAAATATTTTAAGAATATATGATTATAATTGAACGGTCAAGTAAATAAAATCCATCTTCGATGAAGATTTTTTTGTGGGTCTAATAGTTAAATAAATTATAATGATGCTATAATAAATACGAACGGTACCAACCTAGAAATCAAGTGACAGTTGGAGCAAGAACATTAGCTCAGACTCATTGACAAGTAGTGTACCTTGTCTTTATCCGTTGTTCAAATAAGTTCGGATGCAATGTAACTACCATCGATTTTCGTTGTATATATATAAGAGAACACCAAATTGAGTTCTGCTCTGTAACTTGTGTTCATCGTTAGTTTGTTGTTGCCTGCAGAAGCCATGGCTTGCGTTTATAAGAATCCCAACGAGCCCATTGAAGCTCGTGTGAAGGACCTTCTTTCCCGCTTGACTTTGAAGGAGAAGATTGGTCAGATGACCCAAATTGAGCGCAGTGTTGCTGCCTCTTCTGCAATTAGAGACCTCTCTATAGGTATCCTACCCCTTGTGATATGCCTCTCCAATTTGTCATTTTCTGCAGGTTGAAATGAATTTGAGGGATCTCAATTGAGTGTGTCTTAAAAATGGGAACTTTGGTGATGTTTCTGTGTGTTTCTTTGCCTCCATTTTGTGTAAGCTTTGAAATTGTTAGAAGTTGAGGGACCCCAATTGAGAGTGTCTTAAAAAATGGGAAGTTCTATGATGTTTTTGTGTGTATTTCTGCCTCCATTCTGTATAAGCTTTGGAATCGTTGGAATTGAAATGAATTTGAGGGACTCCGATTGAGAGTGTGTCTTGAAAATAGACAATTTGATGTCTATGTATATTTGTGCCTCCATTTTGTCCAAGCTTTGAACTTGTTGTTATTTGAAATGAATTTAAGGACCCCCAATTGAGAGTGACTGTCATAAAAATGGGACTTTTATGATGTTTCTGTCAGTATTTGTGCCCCCATTTTGTGTAAGCTTTGAACTTGTTGGAATTTGAAATGAATTTTAGGCACCCCAGTTGAGAGTGTCTCTTAAAAATGGGAATTTTCATGATGTTACTGTGTGAATTTGTGCCTCCGTTTTGTGCGACCTTAAACTTGTTGGAACTTGAAATGAATGAGGGACCCCAATTGAGAGTGTCTTGAAAGTAGGCAATTTGATGTCTCTATATATTTGTGCCTCCATTTTGTTCAAGCTTTGAACTTGTAGGAATTAGAAATGAATTTGAGGGGCTCTGATTGGGTGTGTCTTGTTTGGTACAAAAACTTGGATGAGAGGGGAAATGAGGGGGCTAAAATCCCTCTGTTCCCAGCTTTGCTCCCTCCTCCAGTATTGGGAAATTTTGGAGGAGAAGAAAAATGGCCTATAGTTTTAAGGCTGTACGGACTAAATTGTTGCTAGATTTTATTTTATCTCTCATCTTCTCATATTTTCCCTACCTTCTATCCTTTAAACCAAATACACTGTTCATATCTCTGTTTGTGCTTGTGTTATTTTGGATTGGACCCTTCTTTGGCATTTGATTATGTGTGCACTTTATAGGTAGTATACTCAGTGCTGGTGGCAGTGCACCATTTGAAAATGCACTGTCATCTGATTGGGCTGATATGGTGGATGGCTTTCAAAAGTCAGCTCTACAGTCACGACTGGGAATACCTCTCATCTATGGGATTGATGCTGTTCATGGCAATAATAATGTCTATGGTGCTACCATATTTCCTCACAATGTTGGCCTTGGTGCTACTAGGTTAGTATTCACTTTTCCCTGTTTTTTTAACTCAATTAGCAAAGCTTAGTATTATTACAGTGAAAAAGGGGTTAGACTTTGGAGGGAAAAGTAGTTTGACTATGAAGTTTGAATGTTGTTCTCTTGTACTAAAGAGAGGAAATGCACTAAAAAAACAAAGATGCTAACTTCATCGAAAATGGTACTGCAATAATTTGCTGGATATACCAAATTGCATTGGCTTTTGAGTTGACATAGGAGTCCTCTTTTTGGCGTTGAAATCAGTTCTTACTCTTCACTGTTGGCATGCTTGTAGGGACAGTGATTTAGCTAGAAGAATTGGAGCTGCTACAGCACTAGAAGTTAAAGCAAGTGGAATTCACTATAGTTTTGCTCCATGTGTGGCAGTAAGGAATTGCAACAAACTATTCATTCTATGCCTAGATGAATTATGCCAGATCGCTACATAGGTCGTGCTGATTTTTTCAAAGTAGCATCATCTGGATCACCATTTTGTGCAAGGTTTTTCAATTTTGAAATTTTTTTGCAAGCAGACAAAGTTCTGCCCCTGGTGCACTAATTATTCATTAATCTCTGATATTCACTTCTGAACTCAGTATATACTTTGCAGTGAACCCTTGACTGATAGCATGCCACTGACAACAATTCCTAAGAATCCTAAATTTTCCAATCAATTCTCGTAGGTTGTATCAGTACTAGAGATTGAAGTTTTTTTTTTTTTTTTTTCATTTAAAAACTGCACATGTATTTTTATATTTTTCCAAAAAGATTTGCATATTTATCTTTAAATCAGTTTCTAGCAGGAGTTAAAACAAGAAGGATGATCAACATATATCTATACTTTGCATATATTTTCCATTTAAGTTTCAGTATCTAAACAATAATGGAATGGAAATTTACATGGTTAAATATACAGGTCTGCAGAGATCCTAGATGGGGAAGATGCTATGAGTGTTACAGTGAGGATACTGAAATAGTCAGAAAGATGACTTCCATTGTCTCAGGTTTGCAAGGCCAGCCACCACAAGGACATGAACATGGATACCCTTTTGTGGCTGGAAGGTAGGCAAAAGCCATTCATATAAATTTTAACAAAATATTATCGTTTAAAAGTATTGAAAATTAACTATTACTGTTCCAATAACAATTTATACTGATACTCAACAGCGGGATGCCTACAGCATTTTGTTCTATCTTTTCCTATTTATTGTCTTTAAATATCACCAATAGGAAAGAGACACTTCATGCCTCTATGTATTATATTTAAATAAAAAATGAGAGAAAAGGTAAGTTAAGATAAGAGAAGTAGTTAGTTATAGCAGGATCAAAATGTGTACATGAAAAAAGAGAATCATCTTTATTAATAGTATAGATTTTTCAATAATTCACATTTTAGGAAAGGAATAAGGATTCTTTCCCCTTCAAACTTTTCCTTTTGTTCAGTTGTGAAATATGATTTCCTTGAAGTTTTCCTGCTATTAATAATTTTTTACATATTTTCTTGTTTCTTTGTTCTGCATTTCTTCTCATGGCATAAAGTTACAATTATTTTGAAAATATTTTGCCAAATTAATGATCATACATTTTATTTATCAATATTTTCATCTTATGTTTAAGTTATACTTCAGGAACAATGTTATTGCATGTGCCAAACATTTTGTTGGAGATGGAGGTACGGATAAAGGTGCAAATGAGGGAAATACTATATTATCTTATGAAGACTTGGAGAGAATCCACATGGCACCTTACTTAGACTGCATCTCCCAGGGAGTTTCAACCATTATGGCCTCCTATTCTAGCTGGAATGGACGCCAACTCCATGCTGACCATTTTCTTCTGACTGAAATCTTGAAAAATAAGCTGGGTTTTAAGGTAAAAATAACCTTAATAAATCTATCTCCTTATCACTGGATAATTTTCAAGTTGCATTTGCATCACTATGCTTGAAAAGTATGTTACCCAATTTTATATTTTATGTATGTTACAAATAAATAGTAAAAGTGTTTCTCCATTTTATGTTATTTCTTTCATGTTGAAAAGATGGAGGCTCATCAAGTTTTCTTTTTATTAGATATAAAAATTAAAAACTATTCAAGAGCCACACTTATTAGCTTAATCTTTTAGGATAGTTATCCGGTCCCTTGACACAATACCAGAGCTTCTTTGACTAATGCATGTTTGAATTTGTGAGGAGCTTCAGACCCCAGTTTAAGAGACAACACTGATTTTGTCCATAAAAGAATGTTTGGTTGTTTCAAACATGATTTTGTTCCTAAAAGCGTGATAAAAGTTTGTATATTTTGTGTTGGGTTCAGAATTTTACTCTAGGTGGTAGGTTGTACTAGGTAGTATGTTTTCAAACTTAAAATCACTTCACTTTAACCAAAAACTATTTTGTAAAATCAAGATCATTCAACTTACAAGTTCGTAAATTCTTACGGCTCAACCAAACATACTCTAAGCAGCCAAGGATTCAATCCTTACCATCCATATTCTAATAAAAAATGATTTTCAGAACATGGTACAATAGGCTCATGCATTGTCCAAAAGGATCTTGTGAGAAGAGGTGTGGTAGATATAAAAGTCATTCCTATTTCCTAAGCTTCCCCAACCTAACAACTTAAGTTTTTTTTTTTTGTTTTTTTTTAATAACAATTGGTTCTTGACAATTTCAGGAAAGTTATAATAAGACATGATAACCATAATTGGAATTGTTTTTCTTTTTCTTATGTTCCTGGTTTTGATTATAACATTTTTTAACCTAGTCCTAGACCATTGTTATAGGGTTTTGTTATTTCTGACTGGGAGGGACTCGACCGACTATGCCATCCTCGTGGATCAAATTATCGGTACTGCATCTCTTCTGCCGTCAATGCTGGGATTGACATGGTATAGATCTTTGGTTAAAGAATGTTTTATCATGGTGTGCTTTTCTTAATCTGTTTTCATCTATTCAATAAAATATGCAGGTGATGGTGGCTTTAAGATTTGAACTTTTCATTGAAGAGTTGACCTCTCTGGTTGAATCAGGGGAAGTACCTCTAAGCAGAATTGATGATGCTGTTGAGCGAATTTTGAGAGTAAAGTTTGCTGCCGGGCTTTTTGAATTTCCTCTGAGTGACAGATCTTTGTTAGATATAGTTGGTTGCAAGGTAAGCAATAACTCAGCACATAGTGAATTTCTCTTTCCCATTGTTTAGATCATAATCACAGTTTTTCACCCATTATTTTTAAGAGTTTCCCACACGTCATTAGAAAGATTATTTCCCTAATCCCTTATGAATAAAGTATTTTTGGTTTTAGTATTGGTTGCCTTCACAAATTCTTCTAGTATATGGAAAAATCTATCCTTATATATTAGTGATTCAATTTGCACTACTCCTTTTCTTATGGATGCAGTATTTTTTTGTTTTAGTATTCATCGTCTTCACAAATTCTCCTAATATATGGAAAAATCCATCCTTATATGTTAGTGATTCAATTTTTCCTACTCCTTTTCATATTGTACTTTCTCCTTGGGTGGAAATACTGCAGTGTTAAAGAATGATATTTTTAATCATACTGTTCTCCAAATTTTTGTCTTTGACTGTTTATGAACTTTGGTTCAATTTTAAAATATCAACATCATTGCAGTTAGTGGCGTAAACTATTGTTACTAACTTAGTATTTAAAAAAATTGAAGCTTAGCTATTGAAAGTTAATTCTTCTCCTCGTGGTTCCCTTTTGATCCATCTTCAAAAATATTATACATTTGGTGTAAAAATTTACTCTAGAGGAGCATTTCAATCCTGGAACATAAAGTGGACAAAAATTATAGAAATGGATACAGAGGAAACACAAATGGTAGTATTTTAGATCAGATATTTAGTTTTCTTGCGACTATTACAACTTATAGTATGCCGTGAACATGTTTCAATTTAGGTTGAAGTAACCTGACCAGAAAAAAGATTAATCTAGTGAATTTGTTAACCTCATATGATTAACCAATCTATTGGCTAATCATTCTACAGTAGAAATGTATGACAGGGTATCCTAAATTAATTCTCCCAAAAATATACAAAGTGATATTATAAAGTGATGGAGACAATATTTTTCTGAGAACTCTAGGAAACATAAATGCTTCATCTTAGATCATTAATGTCAAGGGATACTGATAAACAACACAAATTTTAGTAACATTGACTCCTTTTAAAATTTATATATAATTATGCACTTGATTTTATATGTTCCCTGATTAATTGTTTGTTAGTATCACGACTTGTTAAAAATTTTAACTTGGTTTTACCATAATACTATTTCTGCAGCCACATAGAGATCTAGCACGTGAAGCAGTTCAAAAGTCCTTGGTTCTGTTGAAAAATGGAAAAGATCTTAGCAAACCTTTTCTTCCATTGAGCAAGAATGCCAAGAGAATCCTTGTTGCTGGAAAACATGCTGATGATCTTGGATATCAATGTGGAGGTTGGACTAAAACTTGGTACGGATGTAGTGGCCGGATCACCATTGGTAAGCCAGTATTTTTTGTGGCTTCTTAGGTAGTAGTAGAGTAATTGTTTCTGATTTTATGAATCTAGATATTCATTTGGTCTATCATTCCCTCCCAACTCTCAAGTATAATTTTTCAGTCCTTGTCTTAAATGCATATTTATGGAGAACATGAAAATTGCAAAAAAAATCTTTCCTTCTGTATACCATTCTTTGTTTATTTTCTTTGATAAACATGGTTGTTACATGTATCTTACACCTACCATTTTAGGGACAACAATTTTGGATGCTGTGAAGGCAACTGTGGGAGCTGAAACAGAAGTTATATATGAGAAATATCCGTCGAAGGACACGATAGAGCATAATGAATTCTCTTTTGCAATTGTAGCTGTTGGTGAAGCTCCATATGCAGAGAGTTTGGGTGACAATTCAGAGCTTGCAATCCCCTTCAATGGAGCTGACATCATAAGCCTAGTTGCTGAAAGAATACCAACTCTGGTTGTTCTGATATCTGGAAGACCCTTAGTCTTAGAGCCAAGGCTATTGGAAAAGATTGATGCCCTTGTTGCTGCTTGGTTGCCAGGAAGTGAAGGAGAGGGAATCACAGATGTTATCTTTGGCAGTCATGATTTCAAAGGTAAACTACCAGTGACTTGGATCAGAAGAGTTCAACAGCTTGATCAGCCAACTGATGGGGTCAATTCATGTGAACCATTGTTTCCTCTTGGTTTTGGGCTGACATATAACTAAGACTCTTCCAACCAGCAATAGACGCGCCTCAGTTAGAACCTTAAGTCTGTTTAGATACAATCTTAAAAAGGTTTGTCAGAATTTTTTTTTATTGAAAATAAAGAGTTTTTTTCAATAGAAAAGTTTTCAAAAAATACTTTAAACTTATATTGAAACAAACTCTACTAGTTGCCTCAAGACTCAAAGAGAATTTACATGAATAAGTGCTAAAGTTCTCTATAGCCAAGGGCTTAATAAAAGTAAATTCTCAATAATGCTTGGCTTCCATACAGTTAATCTCCTGGGTTCAGTTGAGATTGTTAGAAAATTGTGTGAAGCTTGTATATTTGAAACTTACTTTAGAGCTTGCAATATACCAACCATAATCAATTTGTCCCTTCCCAGTCCTATGTTGGTTGCATACTTGCATTTGCCTTGGTTATTAAGATGGGCAGTTCTCGTATGATGTTACATGGTTTGAATTGGATTGCTTGATTAGTTTTTGGTTTTTCTATTTAATCAAAAACAGAATTATTACTTTGAATTTCCAACTAAAGTAATTAGTAGTATTTTTATCCAGCATAACTTCGAAATCTAAACTAATTACCATAGCCAAATACTCAATACCATCAATTTAGGCATACAAATTAAAGTTCTGAGCAAAGAAGAGACAACTCAATTAAAATATGATAATGATATATCACCGATTTGATTTGAACCAGTTTTTTTTTTAATTAAAAAAATAGACTCAAATCAATCAATTTCAAGTTTAAAAATTAACGTAAAAACAATTTTGACTTTTTATTTTGTTATTTCAATTTGATTGGTTGCAAGTACTTTTAGAGTCTGTTTGGAGGACATAATTTAAAGTAGATTAGAAGAGAAAATGAATAATTTGTAAAAAAATTAGGTTGTTTGGAGAGAGTGATTTGTGAGAATTCGAGGGTAAATAATAAAAAAAAATACTCTCTAAAAAAAAGAAAATTTGTTACAAATTTTTAAAAAAGAAAAAAAATTATACATTATTTCTTTTTGGTCTCATTCTATTATGGTTGAATACAATAAAAATATAATTTAAAATAATAATTTCTTTCTATTTTTTACTTAATTTTACTTGACCAAACAATTATAATTTTTTTTTTATCAAATTAACTTTTAGTTATTCTTTCTCATTCTCTCTTTCCCTTCCCAACAAAGCATT